TTTATTTTCTCTTTATACGTGACTTTACCGAAAGAACCAAAGAGTAATTCCTGCAGTCACAAAAGCTCCAAATTAAGTTTAAGTTTAAGGGCTTTGGGATGAACGTTAAGAAGACACTCACCGAGGATTGCATGTCGACTATTCTCTGGGTAGGTGTTGTAACTTGCTGACACGCTCCAACTGGACATCTGTGAAAAAGAGCTTCATAGCTCATCGGATTCCTCCAGTCTAAAATAATGATTCTGATAGACGCGCTCTGCTTGTACGATAACGATGGCTCAGCCGTCGAACAAAGATGGTCACCGCATCGCGCGCTTTCAGATGCGCTTCTGTTGCCGTCTGGAACGCTCTTCCTTCCGGCATTAGGAAGCCACGGGAGCTATGGCACTTTACATCGAGTTTGAAAACTCATTTATGTACAACTGCTTGTGTTTAGTTTGTTGTCCTTCCCCCACAACCCCCGATACGCACGGTTGGCTAGGTACGGTTTAAAATAAGTTATACATACCAACCTATCTCGACTGCCCATACTCCACTGCACGCTTACAAAGCTCAGAGGCCCATTTATTAAACGTGTGGCTTGTATTGCCGCAATGTCTGATACACAGGGCTCAATTTCAGCCATAACAGTCCTAAACGCTAAATTATCCAGGTAGGAACAACAGTTCCACACTGCCCACCAGGGATTATTTGTCTGCCGTGCATAGCCCCTCCCAAACATGTACGCTCCCGGATTGGTTGAAGTGCGTCACGTGACTGCGATCTTTCTGCCGTGCACGAATGCGATGTCCAACCAAGTTCCTACCTGCCCACTCCGAAGGAACGTGTTTTTGACAAACCGCCTCCATCTCACCTAATTGTCCTCAATTTGTATGTGCCCTCTGTTTGTATGAGTATAGGACTAGATGGTATACTAATTAAGGATTACTCTCGTGGTAGTTCCTTACGCCGAAAATCCCAACTCCATGCCAGCCGAGCAGCGTTTCGGAAAACACCGTCAGAAGTTGAAGCCTTACTTGTGTATCGGTTCATTACTGGTAGGAACCTCCTGGTTACACCAGCCCACAGGGGATTATTGTGTCCGTCCGTCGTGCAGGGAGGGGCTGGGTGGGGAGGTTGGGGTGGGGAGGGTGGGGCTGGGTGGGGTGGGGAGGGTGGGGAGGGGCTGGGTGGGGAGGGTGGGGTGGGGAGGGTGGGGCTGGGTGGGGTGGGGAGGGTGGGGAGGGGCTGGGTGGGGAGGGGCTGGGTGGGAGGGGTGGGGCTGAGTCGGGAGGGACTGGTCACCCCGTGGTGCCCTTATAAAACTCAACGTTTAACCTACTCACGCCGGCTTGTGCCCGCCGTCACAGTCGGGCATATTTGCGGAATACACCACGCGGCCGTTGACCCTGGCCATTGACCGAGCAACCCAACGTTCCTACCAGCTCCCTCGGCAGGAATGTGTTTATACAGAGCACCAATGATTACAGTAAAAAAAACAATACCGAATTTCAACATCTACAACATTTCCCCTCCGATGGGAAGGCCCCTCTGCACGTGGAGCCGCAGTGGAAAGTGGCATTTGGGATCCCATCATCAGTGCCGGCAGATCTGGTTCTTAATTAGAGGGCGCAGATTACCACAACTACTGGGCCGTGATTGTTGAAATTAACGTGGGGGGGGGGGGGGCGGCGTATGCAGGAATTCATGTTGAATGCGATGGTATGCACCGCCGTGCATGGGTGATGCAGAGCGGGTCATAGGTAACGACCTGACTTGTTTTGCCGAGAACTTTCGAAAAATGAAATAAGAACACAAACTCTGAATGGTACAACATGCTTTAGTTCACGGAGCTTCGATGTAATTATGCACGAACGCCCAGAACACGCAATTGCGTTCGTTGACAAAGCCGCTAAGGTGAAAATGCGACGTTACATTTGTAATCAAAGCATCGTCTTGGTCTGCAAGTTCAATGAGAGCACGCGAACGCTCGAGGCGGCTTTGACGGTCTCTGGGGCTGCAATTCTTGCACCGGCTGAATCTTACGTTGGGGGGGGGAGGAGAAGGTACAAGTCCTCTACCAAGATTCACCGCAGCGACTGTCCTGTGATCACCAAGTTCTCATTTAGTTTCATTTATTCAAGTTTCATTTATTAGTTATAACCCTGTGAGCCATGTGGCTCTTGAGTCGGGTGCAACCGCAACAAACAAAATGTGAACACAGAACATCTTAAAGCGACGACGCCCAACAGAAACATCCTGGAATAAACCAGCAAATATTACAAAAAATTAACCCGTAAAAACAAAGTTTTTCACTATAAATCCTTTATATGCGTGGCGGCTAGAGTCCTCTCGTCCTCTGGCTTGAGATGGCTGCCACCTATGGGTCAGATGATTGCCTGCCACCATTAAGCATATTGGTAATGAAATATAATTTATTTTTTCCTAAAAAGTGTAAAATTTTGGAAAAAAATTTTCACGAAAATAAATTGTCACGCACAACGAGTCTGTGTGCAAATTGTCAGCTCGATTGGATCACGGGAAGTGGGTTAAAAAACGACCGAAATATTTGCACGGTCATAAGCGCGCAAGCAAGCAAGCAAGTGAATTAATATAAAGGATTAAAAAAAAAGTATTAAAACGCTGTGTGCAAAAATCAGTGGTGCAAGCCAACAACGACAACAACCATAAGACAATTTAGATTAACCATGTTTTCGAATCACCAAAATAAAGCTATAAAAACAACGTAACAACAGTAATCATAGGAACTGTGATTTAAAATTTTACAATAAACGATACACAGCACGTACGACCAACCCTGCAGCCACAGCTGGCAGCAGGACACTGCCAGTGTATGACCAAGTCAGCGGCGACAGAGCGTGTCCTTCCCGTCGAGGTGTCGGCGTTGTCATCGACGCCAGAGGTCGCAACCGGGTACCCGATATCCGTACCCTACCCGATACCCGGCTACCCGTACCCGGCCGGGTACGGGTAGCCGTTTGCGACCCTGGTGCGGCCGGGTACGGGTACGGGTAGGTCGTGAGTCACTGGTGAGTAACTGTTTGTCAATCATTTCCCAACGTCTTGTCTCTTCTCACAATTCAAGTTCTTAGAATCAACCCACTCGCGCCTGCAACATGGCTTCATCCCAGAGGTCGCAATCAGGTACCCGATACCCGTACCCGGACGGGTACGGGTTCCTAAATCGGGAAATCAACGTCCGAATACGGTGCGGATTTGGGACCAGTTCGGGTCTTGAAATATCGGCGATGTTCTCTCGGTGTTTACATTTTTTTTGTTGACAATTGTTTCCGAGATAAATGTCAACTATTATCGCGCGCTGCTCAGGTGTATAACGGTTGATCATAAACTCCCAGGCTTCTAATAATAATAAGTGTTTTTCCCCTTGTTTCTGGCAACAAAACTGAAACCTTTTTACAAGGATTCATGTCCGCATTAACCACAATACTTGCAGTCAAAATGCAAACAAAAAACATACTTCTACTTTGTTTCTACAAAAAATGTGTTTTAAACAAAATTATTTCACACAAAATATCGCTATTTCAAATCAGGTTGTTACTTACGGCCCGCCCTGTATATATGCAGCAACTCAATGTATTAAAAGTGCAGAATACACGTCAAGACTGAAGGATTACCCCTGTTGCGGGAATTATTTTGGCAAGCCAACATCCATTATCACCCAATTATGTGCCCTCTATTCGTACGATCAAAGGACTATATGATATAGTAATGTAGTACGATGGGGTAGGCGTAACCATGTACTCTCGTGGTAGTTCCTTACGCCGATAGTCCGTACTCCAAAAGCCAGCCTGGCAGGCTTCCGGAAAACATCGTCAGAAATGAAGCCCCACACGTGCGCATCCATTGTTGCTGTTGTTGTTGTCGTCGTTGTAGTTGTTGTTGACTCACGGCCCTGGCGTCTCGATGTTTACCTGTGAAGTGTAATTTCACTCGGCCCTGTTCAAGGCGGTCTCCTGACAAGCAGCTCTTTCCCGATGGTTTCAGGTCTTGTGTTTTACAGGTAGGAACAATGTTCCACACTGCCCACCAAGGATTTTTTGTCTGTCTGTCGTGCATAAATAAATATATAATACAAACAGCTCTTTTGATTGGTGGAGACCTACTGCCGGGTACGGAGAGGGGAGGGGCCTAAGGGAAGGGGGGTCAGGGGAGGGGCCTAAGGATATGGGGGGGGGGTCAGGGGAGGGGCCTAAGGGAGGGGGGGTCAGCGGAGGGGCCTGAGGGAGGGGGGTAAGGGGAGGTTAAGGGGGCTGAGGATGTCGGGGAGGGTGGGGGGAAGGTAAACACGCCCACTCATCCAACTGCCCCCCCCCCACCGAACGCAGCGCTGTCCAACCAAGTTCCTACCTGCCCACTCCGAAGGAACGTGTTTGTTTTGTCTTACGAGAGAAAAAAACAATTTGGCATCTAATAACTCACGCAAATTATTATTACGGTTTCGTTTACTATTGGGGAGCGGCGGCGGGGGAGTTATTCATGAAGTGGTTGACATTAGCGGTTAGCCAATTGGTGCTAAGCAAACTCACTCGATGTAAAGCTTTCGTGACTGCAGGGATTCATCTTCTTAGGTTTTTTCGGTAAAGTCACGTACATTCACATGAGGACGGCTGCTTGCGTTGTAGGCCGAAACGTCGTGAGAATTATTTGATTATGTTTTATTTTTATTATTTTATTACTTCCCTTCTACGTGACTTACCGAAAGAACCAAGAAGATGAACTCACTCGATGAAGCCCCCTATCTTCAGCAAGAAGTGTAATCGACCGTGCATGCCTGAGCGTTCAATGGTTCTGTGCGCCTCCGTTTCTTTGGGGGGTCTGCAGTCAGGTTCTCAAGGACTGGAACACTTTGGGGTTTGACATGTGTGATGAAATGTACACGTTATGTACGTTGAACTTCGTTCGGCACCGCAAGTAGCCATCCGTGACAAAAGATACTCGAGAGCACGCACAGCCACAGAAAACTAGTGCACAAAGTCGCGTCATTTACTCGGAAAAATAATATTTATTTTATAGAATGCTACATCTTTACACATACAGCTTTACTGTACCTTACACATTGGGGGCAGGGGGCAGGGGGGAGTCAAATGGTGAAATGAACAATATTAATAAATGTACATGATCCAAATATACCGAAATAAAAGGTACAACTTTAGGGTCTGAAACCAAACAAAAATGTGGTCTCAAACCCAGTCTGATGTTCTGCCCCCCCCCCACCCCCGAACAAGCGAAAGGCGGCGTTCTTCAAACGCACAGAGGGGACTTCAAGAGAGGGCTTTAAATGCCCAACGTTACGCACTTGGGCCACCCGTGTACAGAATGTCAACGAATACACAGCGAACCTTTGAACAAGACATCCTGCTTTGCGCCGCCAATGTAACGTTTTACACGAGCCCTCGATTTTGTTAACGATTCCAACTGCACTGCATCGCAGCGTTTTCTTTTATTAAGTGGATAACATTTTTTGTACGTCCAATAAATGTCAATGTGTTGCTGTTGTTTTTTTTAAAAGGGTCTTAATGACCGTTGTTTTGGTCAATGTTAATGTATTGGAATCGGGTCTACCGTTTACCGTAATTCACTCCATGAGTATAAGACCCCTTTCACCACCAATGTCACGCTCAGCGAGGTGACCACGTGAACTGCACCCCCCTCCTCTCCCACCGTTTGTTCAGCATGCGAGCAGCAGCAGCATCTTAACGTGGCGCAAATGCTCACCGAATTGCCAATTATGAAATTCATTCACGAGACGGCGAGCTTCGATTGCCAGTTGCGTCACACTGAATGTCAACATCAGGCGAAGCAATGGAGTAGAAGCAACTTTACGTCCCATTGTTACCGGAAAAAAATGCGAGGCAAATTTTTAGCACCCATATCACCATGGACGCAATTTAACTGGGCCTAATTTTTCCGATGATGACGACGATGCATTATTAATTTACTCGATTAACCCAATTTCAAACACATGTGCTGTGGCTGTTAATGAAACATTATTGGGGCAATTCACTCCGGGGCGTAATTGTGAGAGAAAGATAAAGATCCAGAATCCGCATTAAGTAGGAGCAGTTACACCGGCTTCACGAAATAAGTCCATTCGTGGCAACGCAGTTTTAAAACTTAGCTTTGCCAATCGCTACCGGTGGCGCCTTAAATTAGTTTAAAACCGTTTAATAATTTATTGAATCATGAGTATGAGCAAGAAATACTGCATTTACATTACTGGTGAGAGAGAGAGGTGGGGGTGGAGTGGGGGGAGTTGCACTTTTCAGTGATACAAAAAAATCATTTACACAATGCATCGATTCCACATAGCGTCTTAAATTACAAGTCATCTATACACACATGTACAATAAGGGGTGGCAGAGGGCAATTTGCGATTTTTTTCTATCGTCTTAAGTAGTGGCTGAAAAATCCTAGCAAAACAATACATAATGGAAACACTGCCATGTTGCAAACAACACGCAGTCCAAAAAGTAGCTATAGCTGCCTCAACACATTCTGTACAATGCGTGTGAAATGGCGGCGCTGTACATTGGATATACACAACAAAAATAACTTAGCTCACACGACAGTATTCCTGGCTGCTGCTTCAGCGTCATTTTACTTTGCAGAAAGTACGTGGCCGTTTAAAATGATGTACACACACACACACGTACGCACGCACACACGCAAGCGTAGACTTTGTACAAACAAGAGCTTAAAATCATTGCGAATTCGCTTTTCGGCGCTAACATGGTCAGCGTTCAATATTTTCGGGCACTGTGACAAGTCAAGCACAGGGCTCTAGTACGGTCATTACGTCTGTCGAACCCTACTCGTGTGTAGGGAACGGACCGATTCTTCCAAATGGATTACACGGTTGTGTCTGAAAGTTGTTCAACTGCTTCCTGTAATTGATTTGCACTGGGTGTGTATCGTGGCCGTGTGGTCAGCAAATTCTGGGTTTGTCAATTTATTTTTCCGATCCACTTTTGGGAAAGTATCGTCCGTTGTTGTCGTGTGCGGGCCCCCTCTGCGAGACCACATCTCTCTTGCTTCATGCTTCTGCGTATTCCACGCCGTCTCGCCCCGAGCAGCCTGTTCAAGCGTTGCACATTTTGATTCAAACTTTAAAAAAAAATTATGAAACAAATGCATTCCCGTTGTGTAGAAAAGCTGGGCATATTGGAATTTGATTTGAGTATAGTACTATGGGAACCTCATTTGCCAGTAAAAATATGACAATTGTTTTTTTACCCTTCTATCTGGCAACAAAACTGACACCTTTTTACAAGGAGTCATGTTTGCATAGACCGCAATGCCTGCAGTCATAATACAAACAAAAGACATAACTCTGATAATGTGCACTGTCATTGAAGTTGATTGGTCCACACCCGAGACAGCTTTCCTTAGAGCCTAGTCTCACATGGGTTGGACCAGATGACGCCAAAAGGCGCACAACTCAAAGACAATGCACCATCAGAGTATGAGAGCTCGGGGCAAGCATCTACACTATGGGAACCTCATTTGCCAGTAAAAATTATGATAATTGGTTTTTTACCCTTCTATAGTATTGAATTAATTTGATGGAATAAAATGGCAAGCAACAGCAGGCTGGAGTGCTTTGTGTAAACCCGACGATGAGTAGCAACATTCCGATTCATCTTCAGAGGAAAGTTTTCAATATATGCATATTTCCTGCTCTGACATGGATCAACTTGGGACATTGACAAAAAGATGGGAGCAATGATACGAGCCAATGCTCAGAAGTGAGATAGACAATGGCATCGCAAGATCATGAAGAATGGCATCGCAAGATCATGAAGAATGGCAACCGCGTGGGGTAACCTTCATTCAGCAGTGGAATGATCATGGCTATTGGGTGGTGACAGTTGTGCCATTACAGGAATTTGTGTGGCGAGCCACTTACGATGGGCTTGTGGGTTCGCGTTGCATCGCAAACGCGGAAACTGGCCAACTTGAAAAATAAAAGGCGCGGCAGGCGGCGGGCGCGTCAACTCAAAGAAGCCCTCGGCTCACGAAGGCGATGGACACAACGAGGTACTCGCCGGAACCACACAGTACATGTGTCAGTGGGGTCAGCCATTTGCAGACACACAAACAGCCGTGATGGACCCAGCGAGAACAAGCAAGAGAGAAGATGCAGGCAGACGGGAGAGTGGGGGGGTGGTGCTTTCACTGCTCTCTTTGAAATCAATCTTGTGGCTCGAGACGCATGCAGCCTTCCGAGGCTACCGCTGCTGCCTGGCGCGGCTACGGGCACGACACCGCAAAGGTTTTAAATGCCGCTCAGAACGATGCAGTTCCCGACTCGGCCCTCTCGGTGGCCAATCGGCTGCAACATGAACCAGCTTCAGAGTTAAATATTACCCCCCGGCCCCCCCCTCGCTCCCCCGGGGCCCCGCCCAATTAATTAATTTAACTCTTCACGCACACGTATTTACCAATTATGCGGCGAATCTCAAATTTGTTTCCGTTTAAAGAGCTTGCTTACAAATGGCCAGAGGAAGGGGTCCTACGAGACGCGGCTGCCACAAAAAAAAATGAAAATTATTTCACGTGCAACTGAATGACCAGAGATTACCCCGGTTAAATAGCCAGTTTACGGCAATGCCTAAAGCAGGCAAAGCCGCACACAATCCAGTGTAATTAAAACATAATCGGCATTTAACGGCTTAAAAATTCGAAGACTAAATGTACAGAGGGCCGGATAAAGTATATTTTTACTCTAGGAACACCACACTGACTTTCACATCTATGACAAACAAATAAAAACAACGAATCTGGCAGTCACACACATGAAAGAAAAATAATAAAAAATATAACAATAAACATCAAGCCTGTACAGGTTTAGTTGAATCAAACCCTGTTAGTCAGTGTTCGGTTTAACCCCATATTATCATCCGATAAAAGCTTACACAGCTTATGTAAACAGTTTCTCATTTCACATGCTTAAAAAAACAAAACATCGTGTTTAAACATTTTCTCCCACACGCGCCACACACACACGCGCGCGCACGCACAATGTCTCATACAGTTTTGATCCATTTTTGCATAACAGTCTCAAACTTTACGCACCGATGCAACGGCAGATACTGAAAAGGAAGCCTTAAAACAAGCACCGTATTGCCTCTCTTCTTGAGAATGTCATTAAATTAAGCTCAACCTTTGTTTGTCCTCCACGGCCCGTTGGCCAATGTGCCCTTTGCAGTGTGGTGGACATTAGTTTCAAAAACACGTTAATCTTCCTCGGTCATCCCAGTCGTATTTAGCAGCAGAGGGAGCATTTTATTTTTACATCTTCTTCCTTCTCCACACCCCCCACCCCCTCCTCCCAAGTCACAGATGTTCCGTTCCGCAAACGTCTTTCTCGAAAACAAAATGTACCGCCGTCTTCCAGCGTTCCGGCGCCTCTCGCTTTCGTCTTGAGCAGCAAACAGCGGAAACTTGAGACGGAACCTCTACGAGAGAAGTCTCCTCGCCTACGACGTCGTCGCCGTCGCCGTCGCCGCCGCCGCCGCCCACCCATCAACGCGACCGCGAGCGGAGAAAACCGCCGGTCGTCTCTCAGGGGGGGCGTGGGGGTGCACACGGGCACGGACGAGGAGGGGGAGAAGGGGCAAACTGTATCGCGTCCACGTTCGTTCCTCTCGGCCGGACGGACGCTGGTGTGGGACGGATGGACCCGCGGTCATGGGCCTGCCACTCCTCCCACCACCCCCACCCCCCGCGGGGGGGCTCCGTGCCGCCGGGGGCGCTTTTTTTTTTTCTCTAGTCGACCTTCTCCACCTTGCCGATGATCTTCTCCTCGAAGACGGGAAGAACGGCGCTGTCCTCCCGCACCTCCTCGAAGACGACTCCGCACTCGAACTCGTCGCTTGCTTTTTTGAAGTAATACCTGCCGGACAGAGAGGAAGAGGCCAGATTAAGAAGGTGAACTTCTCCTCTTACAGGCGCACTCGACCGCAGCTGTTTCTGCAGCTGCATTAAGAGGTCGGGAGCCATTGACGGCGGACAGCAACAATAAGCACTGAGCATCAGACCGAAGTTTCAGCAGTGGCTACAGAAATAGCAATTCAAACAGGCAAACCGAGCGGTGCTCATCCACATGGCCCTGAGGAGCCAGTGGCGCAAATTCCACAATCTCATCTCCGAGGGATGCCAACTTCCCAACCTGCTGACCTCCAACAAAGTGGAACTCAATTTGGAACCTCATTTGCCAGAAGAAAAAATATGATAATTGGTTTTTTACCCTTTTATCTGGCAACAAAACTGAGTTATAACTGTGATAATGTATGCAGTGCATACATTATCAGACTTATGTTTTTGTTTGCATTATGACTGCAGGTATTGTGGTCTATGCAAACATGACTCCTTGTAAAAAGTTTTGTTGCCAGATAAAAGGGTAAAAAAACAATTATCAAAGTGGAACTCGTTTTTATCTACCTCGGAGGGATGAGAGGCCACTTAAATAACCTGACAAGGGTTTCAACTTAAGAACGAGTTTCAAGCCCTTCTACCGCCCAGCCACTCCGCCGGACGTAGGATGGACACGATCCGTTTCTTAAAGTTTGTGAAATTAAGGTCGGTGTGCAGATTTCCACTCGTAGAAACTGGCAAATATTGAACGAGAATGAGTGTTTTTTTTACGGAACAATGACATTGTTTGGGTGTACTTGAGACCTTCAAAGAATACATATTTTTGCATGAGAAGGCATGGAGTTCACCAACTTTTAAGGCTTATTATAACAAAGCCCTCTGTGCTACCTAGCGCCACATTTTAAATCAATGAGAGTACCTCAACTTGATTTCCATTGTAGCTCAATTTTACCATTCCAGAATGGGCTTATCTGTAGCTTATCATAATTTAAAGTAATCACATATGCACCTATTAAACGCAAAACTCAACGAATGCCACTCACGATAACTCGAATGGAAATGTTCAAAGGGGACAGACATCAAACGGTTAGAGCCCAGTCACACATTTCTTGTCAATTTGCCTTCTCCAGTGCCCAGTGCCCCTTCGGTTACAAATCTGTTCCTGCGCGCCAAGTTTAATGTCCGCTATGCAAACCGGCTAAAACGCGATGACGCTGCTTCAAGGTAAGCAACGCTGCACATTCCACCGTTGTGCAACCTGCTTATTCCACACACGCCTTTCATCCCTGTGAGATCCTGCGAGTGCAATGAGCAAATATGGCACCCAACTTCACAGGTTCTCTATTTGAAAGCGAAAAGCATGCTCGTCGAAGGGGAGCGGAAAGGAGAAACGAGAGTTTATAAGAAGCCGATGTGTAAATGCGCTCGTTTTGTACATACGATGAACTTCTTTCGCAACGTACGTAGCTGACCGTACCAATCGGAGGTGTGGGGGAAGGACAAACACAAAAAGCAGTTCTAAAGAAATTAGTTTTCCATCTTCATTGCAAAGGGCATAGCTCCAGTGGCTTCCTAATATCGGAAGGGCGAGCACTTTTCATCAATGCCCCTAGACATTTCACTGTCTGTGGGCTCTCTTTTTCGCCGAGTGCCAAATCCTCCCAAAGTTCCCGGCCGCATCCCCTTCTCGAGGAGGCGGGATACAATTTTCTTTTTTTTTAAAGAGAGAGAAAACAAAACACTCCGGCGACAACAAGCGGGGCCCTGTCCCCGCGTGGACAAACGCATCTTGGGGGAGAATTAACGGCGATCAAAAGCGGCAAACCTCATGAATAATGAACCGGGCTCGCTCGGTATCAATGGACGGCAAACAATCGAGCGGTACACACACTGCGACACTTCAGCGGGAGGCTAGCGGAGGCTGCGGCATGCAGACGCAGGCTGTCGCAGCTTTGGCCAGGGCTCAACACCTGCCGACGGTTCTCAATCCCCCCCTCCCTCCGCCTCCTTTTGTGCAACGCGTCGTACATTTAATGGCACAGCGAGTGCCGACTAACCCCCTTTCCACGGCCAAATCGCGGGACCCGCCCAACACTGGCTGTAAATTCTCGGCGCGTCTCGCCCACTCGCCCGCCCAAAACTCTCTCCCCTGCCTTCGGCATGACGGGGTGGGTGGGGGGCGGCGGTGAGGAAAGGAGGGAGTGGATGGAGGGTGGGTGGGGAGATGCCAGGAAATGAAAGAGATGCTTTTGATGGTGCGTGCCCGTGGCGGAGGATCTGTAATTTTCTGGCGACGGAGCGAGGGTTCGGCTGCGCGAGCGACCAAATGCGCAGCAAAACACAAATTAAACCAGCGACCTGCGCCGCTCGGTGGCGATGCGTCACACACACCTACCGCCGGCGGTGGAAGCAACGTAGATTGCTGCGATTTCTGTGAGTGCGTGCGTGCGTGTTCCCAGAGGTTGGCGCACTGCACTCCGAGCTTTCCGCGACCTTGGCCCGGTCCGATTCTGTCTGTGTGGCGAGTGGTATGTGAAGGTTATCCAAGGCCTCCCCTCTAGGCTTGTACAGCCTTACCCAAGTGTCTGGAGCGGCGTGCCAACACCAGCGGTGGAAAGGCAAGACATGGTGGTGCTGGCCTCACCACCACCTCTCGTGTGTCAAAGCTGGCCTCTCTTGCTACCTCTACCAAGGAATATTTGCCAAATGACGCTGTCCGATTAAGGGAACAAGACAAATTGTGCACATCGATCCAAGGATATGATCCATTAATTCTAGATTTGAAGCTTTCGTGACTGCAAGGATTCATATTCTTAGGTTTTTTCGGTAAAGTCACGTAGGTAAAAAATTAAAATTAATAAAAGTAAAATAAAAATAAAATAAAAATCACGACGTTTCGGAGGCAGCTTGTGTTGCCTCCGAAACGTCGTGATTTTTATTTTATTTTTATTTTACTTTTATTAATTTTAATTTTTTACCTACGTGACTTTACCGAAAAAACCTAAGGATATGATCCATGTTTTTTGTTTTGGAATTTTAACCAAGGACAGCTTTGCACGCACCCACCTCTTCTTACAGGCGATGTCGCCCCGGTAAGAGATTTGTGCCCAAAAGTCGTGCACTACTTGAGAAAATTGGCGCAAGACGGAAGAAAGTGTAAAGCAAAATGACGAAATGTGCAGTGGACACATACGTGCTATCTGCCCATGGATCGTGATGATGATGATGATGATCACACAAATGTCGGGAAGCACTGAATCACAAGTCCTCATCTCAATACAAGTTTTGGTCAGAAGCAGACTCAGCCCATCATGCCTCCCGCGCTGATTCCGTTGATACGAGTACCACTTTGTGGATCGTCCTATGGGCTTGCCTGGCTCTCATCATGGGCAACAAGGAATTTCCACCACTGGCTAAGGACTGCCAAATGAGATAGGTGCCGTCCCATCGCTCACTTGGACACGGAGATTACTTCTGACTTGAGCGCAGTATTCCTCCCTCGTTGTTCATCAACTTGCTATCCTCAATTTTGGCTCAACGCGAATCGCATTTGGAATTCTCCACGGCTGCACCGAGAGAGCGATGAGATAAAATGACGAGAGAGATTGTGATGCGAGAAAGGAACTAAATAAAGTGATGAACTAAAGTGATGATGCACAGTATCATAATATTTCATAAGTTAATTTACAAACTATTATTTAATACTTTCAGATTAATTTGTATTTACTTTTAATTTATCATAACCAATTTTTTTGTGTTATGATCATTTCCATGTATTAAATAGCTGATTTATGTATTTATTCAAGTTAATTCGTAAAAAAAACAAGTTTTCGTCGGCCAATATCATCATTCGCGAAATTTGCTATTCGTGAGCATCTCCGGCACGTTTCCCTTGCGAATAACGAGGGAATACCGTAATGTTCTATTTAATAGACATTGCGGTGTCCCTCGCAATCGTAAAATTCCGCCTAATGCGCTTCAGCTGCTACCGAGTCGCGAGTGTGCGAGAGCGCGGGTGCTTCCGCCGCGTGTTTGCTGCCTAAAATAAATAAACAAACCACGAAGCAGGCGTACGTAGGAGAAAGAAAAAAAGTTCACTTGCAAAGGTCACCATGTAGTCGAGATGAAACGACAGGTGTGTAAGAATAGGAAGTGAGGCAAAGAAGAGACTGTGGCGGATGTATTTCCAGGTGCTGAACAAAGATCAAACGTCGCAACTGCCCGGATTCCAAACATTTCTGGGTGTACGAGTTGTATGTGTGTGTACGTGTGCGCGCGTGTGTGTCAACGAGCGCATTTAGGTGTGTACGTGCCTGGCAAATTCTAGTTATACATCTACAAAACAATTGTTTAAAAATGCACAATCGACTAGGGGTAGGGGGGGGTGGGCTGGTAAGAAGTAGGGGCTTGGAGGATAAAAGAAGACCGGGCTTAAAGAGAGAGAGAGAGAGAGAAAAAAAACTGAAAGAAGGAAAAAAATCTGTAAAATGCCGGATTATCTGCTGGTATAGCAAACCCGTTTACACGGGGACGTGCACAATGAGGCCTCTTGTTGTGAGAGCACCAAGGTCACAAGCACAAATCAAAGAGCGTAGACACAACAGTGCGAGTTATGAATCTTTTAAAACAAGAGATAAAGCAGCACAAGGCAGCGTACACAAAGAGAGGCAGAAAAGAAAAGGGAGCGGGGACCCACAAAAAAAAATTCCACGCGCCCCTGCTTAACAAAGTTTAAGCTCGCGCTTATCTGCGGCTTTATCTAGAGTTAAGTTTATGTAATGCAGCGAGACTCCGCAACGTCGAGCGTACAACCGAGACAACGCCAAAGTTACGCGCTTACGAATTAATTACACGTCGTAGTTGTAAAAAAAAAAAGAAGAAACTTTACTTACTAACAAGTCATTCTGCATTACAGCGCGATGGTGGTGAGATGTTGACTACCTCGCCAAGTATACAGGAGGTCGTGGGGGGTTTGATCCCGACCCCGACGCTTGGAAATTTGGAATTTGCATGTCTCTCTCCGTAGTCAAGTATATTTTTCTCCAGGTCCTCCAGTTTTCCCCCCCACATTAAGAGTATTTGCCTGCTGTAAATGTCCATATAAGCCACTTCGTTGAGCTATCATGTGTGGCAAGGGTCACTTCTGAAAAAGAGCTGTATAGCTCAGTGGGCCTTACCAGGTAAAATAAAAATAGTTGAGTAGATAGTAATTGATATCCCCCTCCACCCTTCTGCCTCTTTAAAAAAAATACAAAACTCGACCACTGATAAGGAATCTGCCGCACAATCCTGCAGGAAACCCAAAGCGAATGCACCCAAAAAAGCACGGCCTGCGATATTCCAACCATCACAGAGGCGTGGCATCGCGTGGGCCCAATTGCCTGCAAAGGCCTCCAAAGCAAAATGACGGCGGTGACAAGAGGCACGGGACAGATGGACGTCAAGGGGACAGCGTTGCGTGGAAACGTGTGGGATGCAGCTGGCCAAATACAAAAAGGGCACCGGAGTTTTGAATGAGAGTCGCGTATAGTTCAAAAATGCAAGAACCCAGGCTCTCGACTTATGCTTCCGACTACAGGGCTGGGGGGGGGGGGGGGGGGTTGCACACTCCACACTTCAGCAGCTGTTTCCACCAAGTGCATTTCACGTACAGACTGTGCGTTAATCCACCACTGGAGAGTGAGTGGGGGTGGGGGGAGGTTATTTGACGAGACTTCACCAAGCATGGCCGGTGCAGGTTCCAGTGCAAAATCATACATCGACAGAATTTCAAGCACTCACGTCGTTTTCATTAATGTTTTCCCTCGCTAGGTACCTTCCGTCACATGGGGACAGTCTATATTCATAATTTCCAAGTAAAATTATGTTCTACTCAATGGAGCATCACGCAAGCACTCACACCTCCATTGGCAGCCCTGAGCAAGCAGTGGAAATTGCACGTTACTATGGCAGGAGGAAATCTCATTACAGGAAAACAAACGCTGTGGACTTCCCGCAAAACGACGCTCGTTATCGCCTCTGGGGGAGATGACGAGCCGAGTCGATCCCCCAACCTGGGATTTAAACGTGAACCCACAGCGCCACCCAGGCAGAAGGCAGACGGGAGGACAACTACTCTCACGATGAAATTCCCAAGCGGCTGCGGCAAACGAATCCGGCGACTGCCAAGCGTTTCGACGGTGAGAGCGCGCCAAACACCGGGACAGGCAGCCAAGCCCGCCCAATAACCACGACGGAAAGCAAACGAAACGCAACATCCGACAAAAACGCCGCCGCCGTGTTTCGAGGCCTGTTTACGTGGCACGCAGCAGCCATGAGAAAACCCCCTTCCGCTTGAGACACCTTTCATCCCAACCTTTCACCTGCTACTTACGCCGTGCGCACCGTAGCCTCAATCTGCCTCCGCATCTCGCCCGCCAGGTGCATCGGCGCCCGCAGAAAGCCGTGTTTTGCATAAGCCCTGTGCAAACAGCCACTACTACATGCTGCTGCTGCTGCATGATTTCTGTAAATGATGCGGCGGTAAGAATAAAATCAACAAGACGCTGTCTCTGTACCACCTCGTAAGTTGTTCCCCTAACCAGTGCTTCTGAATAACCTTCCTATTACTGATGGACACACACACACACAGCAAAGAAACAGACAGACATCTCATGGAGGAAGTATAAACTGTCGGGGGCAATTGCTGTTTGCGAGTACCTCTTAAGCACAACACATGAGGACGTGGTATGAACAGCACCGCGCCAAGCTGTCTTCGTCTCCCTAGCACTAGTGTTTAAACATTAGACCAAGTATTCGTTTAAAAGCTTTAGCTACTTGGGGGGGATGCCCAGGCCCAGTTCAGATGATCAAAACTCATGATAGTGATAGCCATGATCGAAGGCCATTGGACAAGCCAATAAAGCACCTATCCCAAGTCGAGAAAAACACACAAAGGCACACTCAAACAAGCACACAGAGACATACATATACAAAGACACCCATCACAAAGACAAAGACCTCCCCGTTAGCCTTAACAGGCTTTTGGGGCAAGTGTTGTTAGCGAGCCCAATGAAGGTCACAGCACGGCACACGAGGGGGGTGGAAATTTTAGGACCGGTTCAGATAATCATCACTGGTGTTGGCGGGAATCAAACCCGGGCCGCTGGGTTCGTAGCGCAGGACGCGAACCGCTCGCCACACAGACACACGGTCACACGCCCATACACACAAGCACGGAGACACACCCATGTAGACACAGCAATTGCCACAACAGTCTGTATTGGCGAATTAACTAATTTGGTGATGCTCCGATGGCAGTGGTGCACAAGCACAATTACACACACAAAAAAACTCACATCCGTCAATAGCATCATGTGCTACGAAGGGCCATTCCATGAAACGTTTTCTATTGTATACTTTTTTTCTTTCAAGGCAGTGTTATTGATGAATGCGTCGAGTTTTTTTTGTTTGTTATTGTGGCCGATAGGCGCTCACTAACAGCTTCCCCAACAGTCTCTATTGCCTGATAGGCGCTCGCTAACAAACAATCGCCCCAACAGTCTCTACTGGCACCCGGGCACACACTCCTCTCTGCCACCCCCCCCCCCCCCCCCCCCCCCCCCGTGGTGCGTGCGTGGTGCCCCGTGTGGCCCCACGCTGGGCCCACCGTCCGCCTCGACGCCCACCTGTAGTTGCCCTTCTTGGTGAGGAGCTCCTTGAACTGGCCGAGCGAGAGAACGCGCCCCTTCACCGTCGTGCGGTAGGGGATGGGCTCTCCGCAGAAGTAGTACGCCACCACGATGCTGCTGCCGCTGGTGCCACCGCCGCCGCCACCCTCCGGCGCCGTGCACGCCGACCCCGCGGCCTTCTTCACCGGCTTGCGGCTGTGGCGCACAGAGAGGGAACGGACAACCGAGAAGGAGATGTTAACTCTCTGCCTCGCAGTTACACGCACATCTGTAACATCGTTGGGTCGGAGTGTAATCAGCTGCTGTAAGAGTGCAATTGTTGGCTCACGTGCTGCTGTTGGCGGAAAGGGCCTCTACTAGAAGAAGCTCTCGAGAGACAGCCTCTCCAGGGGGCATCTTGGCCTACTCTTCCATGTTGGCCAGACATCGTGGAAGAAACGTAGGAAATGCCCACACTCTATTCCGCTACGCGCGACCTGCCCGGCAGTATGACCGAGGACAGCAGTGGCAGCAGGGCCACGTGGGTGGTTTAAGGGACGTCATTTCATTGGCCTGTGAGCATAATGGTGCTCAAGTAAACATAGGGTGCGCATCATCTCTCTGGGGGTTTCAGTGCTGCCGACTAAATGTTGGACAGCAAACAGACTCAGGTCAATGGATTCGTGGCGTAGTGCGCTAAGGACCGCACCATCGATGCTTTGAAGAACGAGGCGTAACCGTTTTCAATTTAGTGGCGGGAAATTTGCAAACGCGAGATTATGCGTATGATGCCACAACACAAATAAACAATTCACAAAAGGGAAAGATTACGTTCACATACGTGGCATGAAACCAAAACCCGCTGGGATTGTGCAAAAACACTCACTGCAAAATGTCAAATATTAACAACAGAAACATATTATCCAAATAAACATGGATTGCACCCGGGAGAGCACACCTGTGGGAGTAAACACGGTAATATTAGGTGCAGACATGACACAGCTAAATGCACCGCGTTTAATCTGCAAGGGGTGCAATGAAGGTCAAGGCACTTAACAAAAGCAGCATTGTTTGTCGGCTGTTTATGCGTAAACAGGACCCCTTGCCTTTCAAAGGCTCTCCGAAATGTCAACAGCGAGCCCGCAGTGCACAATGAAAGGCAGGATATTAAACAAAACTTGAAAGGAAGGCTGGCAGATTAAAAAGGGTGCAAAAAGTGCGTGTGGACTGAATCACTGAATTAAACGAGTCACACTTCAAACGTGGTTCCAAAGGGTATCCTTTCACCACCAAATCATTTCATTTTCGGGCGGAGACTAAGTGTCTTTTTGTGTGCGTGCACGTGTCTGTGTGTGTGTGTGTGTGCGCGCACACATCGAGCGGCCAGTCTCTATATGCGGGGTGAAGAGAGAACAAGCGATATAAGATCGTGAACCTACAAAGCGCTTTCGGCGCGACCTGCGAACCCTTCAAAGGACCACGACCGTGGGTATAATGTACAGCCAATTACCGCGGGGTCCCAGCAGGGCATCAAACGCTCGCATCAAAAAACGACGCGTTCAATCACTCGTCCGACTGTCGACTGATGTCTGCATTGACCGCTTTGCCAAAGTGGAGCGGCGGATAAGACATCTCCCTCGCTGTCGCAGCTCCTTTGAATGGAATCTTAATGACCTGGCTTGTCGAAAATAAACCTTGGAAATGGGAGCAATGAATCGTAATTGTAATGGCAAGGATTATTTGTTGGCCCTAGGATTTGGAGCATAAATGTTGTCACCAGGAACAACACGCATTCTTTTCCTTTGGAAATATTTTATTTTTGAAAGCACTTTGATGATTAAAGTAAAAAGAAACTGACTTTTTTTTTTTACTTACCACATTTTCTTTGAGAATATTCACTTGCCAGCGTGGCAGGACAGGAAGGGCCAAAATTTTGAAGGACAAGTGAGATGATTTTTTATTTTGTTTTAAAGCCCCATACCTCTTGAGCACATCTAAGGCCAAGATAAAACGCATTGTGTATATATATCACATTATTTTAAATAGTCAGGATATCACATGCCTTTCTTTGTAGGCTTTAAAGGATGGCATGAACATCAAAAGGTGGCAGAGGGCAGACGAATCTTTTTATTGTGTGTTTTTTTACAGGGACCTCAGAGGCAAGAGATGGGATGCAGAACTCCAACACACCAATGGAGAAAAATGAGTGGATCAAGATCAAGGACTTATTTGGACGTGTAAAAAAGAAAAGAGGGCCACAAACTCAAACAGGGTTGACCCTAAGTTGTCTGAACAATGAAAAAAATTGACGAAAAAAATTACAATTCAAGATTTGCGGCTGGGCAGCACCGTGACGGAACAACGGGACTCGACACCAGGCTCTAAACTTCGTGTGTCGACTAGGCCCATCACACGTTCACGGTCGATAAAGCCGCCCTCCACTTAGTGGGAAGTCAACAGCGGCCTGTCCTACGAAGACACCTCGTCGTCAGAAGGTGGAAAGATTTCCATCTCTGGCCCGGCGTTCAGCACGAGCGCGGCCCGTCGTCCCACGCTCGTTCGAGCACCGAGACGCAAGCTTTGGACGCGTTTTTATTTTTGACCTCGCGACGAGGTTGATCCACAACCCCTGCCCGTCAAGGCCACCACCGGGGCAGCAGCTGCATTAAGGGGGACGTCTCTGTGTAAACAAACACGGCGGTTGCTTTTACGCGCGAGAGAGAGAGAGCGGCGCGCACACTCGCGCCGTGGGGGCGGCGGCGGCGGCGTTTTCAGCGGGCGACGGGAAATATCGTCTTCAAGCAAAACTCGGCGACGCGGGTCGCCGTAAGAACTTCCGCGGCAAAATAAAAAAAAACACTAGGTTCCTCCCACTGCCGAGGTAGCGCATTTCCGCTTTTCATGTGTTTTCGGGTCGTACCGCGCTCCGTTTCGGCACGTCTGCCGTATCGCTCCACGTGCTGGGAGCTTAGTTGGGAACTGATGATTTTCGCTCTGCCGACGCGTGTGTGTGTGTGCCTGAAGCAACGTCTGCGCGAACATTTGACTGCAAAATCGGACGTCGAAATGACGGCGACAAGTCGTAGCCCGATCACTTATAACCAAGCAAACGTTGCGTGAGGTCACGAGAACATCACACCTATCCTAACAGCTTCACCTCGGGGTCAAGTACGTAAGAGGCAGCATCACGCTTACTCACGTAGGATGTCAGCCGCGATTTAGCTTCGTGTGCGATGTCAAGTGGGGGATATCAAGGAGATAAAAAAAATGTGACGCAGTATTACGACATTTTAGTTTCGCTCTGTGACCGGCCGCTTGCTTCTACGAAAATTTTCCGACAGTGAAACCGCGTGGCTCCACTCGCTTCACATTTCTGTTCCAAGTTACGCTGCGCTAACCAACCACTGGCTTCAGAGCAGTGGTTGGTAACAGGCCAACTTTGGAAAAAAGCACTCTTAATTACTGCTTAAGTAGTGTATCTTTGTCAGCACTTGATAGGTCTTGGCACTCTTGTGGTTGGAGGATGAAGAAACTACTCTGGATTCAACAAGGCAGTACTGACTAGCATAATTAAGGCTCTATATAAATATTATAATAGATCCGCAGCACTTTTGCTTTGTACCAAGCGTGAACTACTTACAAATTATGATAATATCTTGAACCCCACTGACAAATCACAGCAAAGATTGTGACGTTCACGAAGACGCCAATGGCCACATCGGCGATCGTGGACGTCGACGTGTGCCTCCGGTGTGTGCTCATGGCTACGTACTCTTGCGGGGACTGCGAGAGGTCCATGTCCGAGACGGCAGGCACCATGCTCGGCACGGGAACAGCGCCCGGTCGCCCCATGCTCCTGCCGCGTTGCATCACTTCCTGCGCGTACCTGCAGAGCGACACGTGCGCCACCCGTCAGCCTCGGAGCGAGTGGCAAGCGCCCGGCAGCATCAGTGGGGGATGACGACCCACGAGACTGGGTTGAACTCGGTTAAGTTGATTTTTAAGTGCCCTTTGAGCTAAAGAGCTCTCGATTTGGGTTTCATCAACAACAGCATCGGTTCCCTGGCAAACGTAACGTACGTAGCAGGTCGTAAGAAAAATAGAAAAAAAAAAATACAAAATAAAGATAAAAAATGGCAACAAATCACATATCGTCGAGTATATTACAACTTGCCGGGAGGCAGCAGGCAAGTGGGCAGGGTTTTACGCAGTCGTCCTGAGCAGCCCTGGCACGTGTTTCGGGTTTGTAATGCCGCAACGGACGACGTTTCGGTTCCTCAAGAAGGCACGTGTACACGTGTCGAACTTCTTTTAACACCGTACGTGGCCAACCGCGCGAAACGGCGGACGTGGCGCCGAACAATGCGCGGTACAACCGGAAGAACACATCGGAGAGCCGCGCGCAAGTGCGTGGCGTGTTTCCGTACGGGTGTGCGATGGGGGGTTTGCGTTCGCGACAGCATCCGAGTGCTTCCGCGATGGTGTCAGCAGATGTCCGTGTGTGTGTGTTTGTGTACGGAAGTGCATTATTGCCAATATTTAAGAAATGTCAGGATGGAAAACAAACAACATCCTGGAAATATTATTACAAAGCATGATCGGAGAACAGTCCCGAAAAGATGATACCAGAGAACCACCCCTGGAGTCTATTCAATACAAACTCAACGGGGCTCCTTCTGACCACGTGGCAGTCTTCCAACATTTAGTTTTTAATCAGATTTAGCCTCCAGGGCTGATCCAAGCAGAATTAATTGAACAACATGTATTATTTTTTGTGCGCAGGCTAAGCAGCTAATTGGTTGCTTTGTTAAGAGGCAGGTCTGTAGCTAAAGGCTGGTCGCCCAACTGGTTGTTGTTAAGGTTAGGGGAAGTACTCGTGCCACTAGCTGATTGGTTTAGAGTTAGTGTCAGCGGGAAGGGTAGCACTACAGGCTGGTTGCAAAGTTGGTTACTGGGATGGAACGGTACTAAAGGCTGGTCTGCTCAAGTGGGTTAGGGTAAGAGGATAGTACTTGGGCAGCTTTCCAGCAACCCAAAAAAGACATCAATATTTCAAGAGCCGCAATGCATGCGGTGAATACGAGACACGGTGCGTGTCCTTGATAAATAACTTTACGAAGAAGTTCCTTAAAGAGCCGCACGTCGTTTCATAGACGCAGGTTCCCGACCACTGCGCTCGGGGTCTAGTCGGCTAATTTGCTTTGAATTACGAGCAGGGCCAGCATTCGGTCGGCCGGAACGCGCTAGTGCCACGCCGCGTCTCCCCAACCCCCCCCCCCTCCCCCCCATCGCTCACCACCCCTCCCCCACCACCACAACACCACCACCAACACAGGAACTCCCTCCACCGGCAGCTTCAGCCACTCTACGTTTACCCGGCTGCCCCCCCCCGCGGATGATGAAGATAATGCGCCGCCCACCTCTGCTTGCCGGCATGCGTGCGCCCAGCGCGCCACTCCTCTTCCAGGCGCCGCTTGGCCTCCTCGAGTTGCACGGTGGTGTTCGGCGCTGGCAGAGGCGGCATGGCCGGGTCCTGCAGGAACGGGTGGGAGGGTTGCACGGCACGGCGCGCGTAGGGGGGGCCAGTGCCGTGACCGACGGCGCCACCGGTGCCGCCGGCGCCACCGCAGCCGCCGCCGCCAACTCCGCCACCGCCACCCCACACGCGCTCAGACGAGCTCCCCCGTGACGTGTCGCACACAGGGGCCTTCTTCCCCACGACGCCACTGCCCAGAGAAAGACGGGCGGACGTGCGGGAGACCCCGGGACAGCGAGAGAAGGAAAGAAACACGAGTAAATTAAGACCGTTCGAATGTAGACTGCGATTTTCTCCACCCCGATTTGTCCCAGCCCGCTCTCTCCACCACATGGACTCTGACCTCCTCAAGGAAGAGCATTCCAGACGGCCGCAGAAGAGCATCTGAAAGCGCGCGTTTGTTGCATCACGCGAGGCATCATAAGTGCAAGGTTGGTGTTGCTGTCGAAGTTACCGTCTTTATTTTATCGAGGGCAAGTTGTGCGAGTCTCAAGCGGGCCGTGCTATCGTGGGGCTGACGTGGATGCACGGAGGCCTCGCGTGTGTACCTGTGCGGGGACTTGTGGTGTTTGCCACTCTCCCTTTCGCCCTCCATCATCCACTTCCAGATGAGCCGTGCACGGTCAGCCTCTTCCGCCGGAATGCCTTTGCCACTGCAACAAGAACGAGCGATTGCGTTAACAGCGTCGTCGTCGTCATCGTCAAATCTGTGTATATCTATTACTATTGAATTAAGTCTCTGCTCATCATCATCACTGTTACCATCATCATCATCATCATCGTTGTATCTACCTGCTGCTTAATTAATCCTTTCTGTACATCATTGCCATTATGAACATAATCATGGTCGTTATCACCGTGTCTATCTGCAAGCGGTATAGGATTAATAGTCTCTGGTCATGTGCATCAGCAATTCATTGCTACTTTTCGTTCCAGATGCTCTAAGTGTGGTAACTGTGTTACAATCAGTCCAGAAACAATAGTTTGCTTTGGGTGGACCCGCTTTATATTGAAGAGGCGGCCATGTGCCAACAGGGATTCTGATAATCCATTATGAAAACAGCGCACTTTTCACCGCATTTATATTCCTTATTCATTGAGACAACAAATACATTTGTTGAGCCTCTCTGGAGCCATGGCTGTCAAATCCAATACAAGATGCATCACTGTCATCATCATCATCATCGTCATCATCAGACACCAAATTGCCTTTGTGCCAATGGCATGAGCAAAGTCAGACTGGCCAATACAAACACGAGAAATCTACAAAATCCTCCTAAGGTGGAAGGTAGCTGGTGGCTAAGGTGGCTCATAATGGCCATGCGAGAGGCATTGTGTCAGTAGCTCCGGATTATTTCCGCAGCCCCTGATCAAAATGGGTCGTGAACTGTTGGTCTTAATGGTCAGTGGGGTGGCAAAGTTGCTTTCCTCTGAAAGACGCCAGTCCATCAACAGGACAAACCCCTGGTGACTTCCCACAAAGCGGTACCTACTTTTACCGACCCACAGAACAGTGACGATAATTGATTATGATGGATGATGACAGCTTTAGCCAACCCCAGACCAGGATTTCAACTTGCGGTCTTCCGACTACCAGTCAAGCGCAGCAGCCTCACCCGGGGGCCAGACGTCAGCGAAACATCGATTCCTCGGGACGCGTGCCAACCGTGCATTTTGCACGCAAACCCTCGCAAGCGGCGTACCTGCCGTACGCGTCGGGCCCGCTCGTCCGCACGCCACCGTAGGGTTCCGCGGCCGCGCCAGCGAACGCGTACGGAGGCCTCTGGGGGGCGGCCGCGTCGCCCTCGGGCCCGTGGTGGTGCACGTGGTGATGGTGCACTTGCACGTGGGTCTTGTGACCCGGCCGTCCACACCCGACCGCGGCCGGCGCCGCAAGAGACGTCGCCGGCGCCAGCTGTCCCTGCAGCGCGAGCTGCTGGTGCTGCTGCTGCGGGTTCAGCGCCGGGAGGAGCGGCGTGCCGAACACGGACTGCAGCCGGGGCACGAGCCGGCGCTCGGGCGAACGGCCCCGCAGCGGCGAGCGCTGGCCGGGCGTGCCCATCACGCGTGACACGTGCTCGTCCAGGATCGACTCGGGGTCGTCCTCGGGGGCGACCGCCGTCACGGCCACCACCGCGTCCGCGCCGCCGCCGCCGCCGACGCCACCGGCGCGCATGAGCAGCGCGAAGGGGTGCAGCTGGTGCGAGAGCGGAAGCAGCAGCTCGCGACCGCCGCAGCCACTCATCGCCGAGACGTCGGCCGTCAGGCTCTCCTCCTCCTGCGTGCGGACAGAGAGAGGACGCGTCTGTGTCAATGGGGAGTGCGCTACACGGGACATTTGCATACACAAAGATCCCCCCCCAGTATAGCTGTATGGACAAGTGCTAGTATATAGCGAGGACCTATTCAGGCTGGCTTAGTCAATGAAATGGTGATGTGGCAGGAAGCACATTGATCCTTGCGTCTTCCCAGCGCTGATGTTTACAAGACACCAGGTACGAATTTAAGACCCAGGAACACTAATGTTTGCCGTGGTTGTTACGTAACACATTGCACAAATCACTGCATCACTCCCCACATTTCCATATGCATACCCACACACAGGCACTTAAGTGTGTCACTGATTATAGAGGGTGTCCCATGAGTCTGGAATCATAGGGAAAAATAACTAATTCAGATTTAGTTTTTGTTTCTGCAGGCCCAAGATGTCTCCGCGTAAGGAAGAACGAGTCCAGGTAATAATACTCATCATAGGCAATCGGAAACAGAGGGAGGTCGCTGTTGTATTTAACAGGCTGCATCCAGACAGAGAGCCAACAACACAGAGCTGTGTTAGCAAACTTGTTGCAAAGTTTAGGTAAACGGGATCCACACAAGATCAACCACGCAGTGGACCTTCGTGGAGTTGTTCATCAGGAACATTACTCGTTGGTTTTACCCACGTGACTTTACCGAAAGAACCAAAGAGTATGGATTCCTGCAGTCACGAAAGCTTCAAATCAAGATCAGGAACAATGGTGGACACATTGAGCAGGTTCTGTGAATAAAGGCTTTATTATTGCCTTTTGTGCATCATTTTTCCTATGATTCCAGACTTATGGAACACCCTGTATATACAACAATGTTACGGCTGATGCTGTGCATAGAATGCACTGCTCACTCCTAAAAAGATGGAAAGCTCAATGAGAAGTTAGGGACTGACTCAGCTCATCATCTCTGCAGTGTCGACAAAATGAGTGCCCCCCCCCCACTGTCCCCAAGTCACCAGTGATCAGTCCGATGGCAACACTGCCCGCCTCTATGGCAATGTGGAATTTCCACTGTTGGCACAGGGGGTCACGACCCGGTCACGAGCGATACGCCATGGCTCATTTGCGCTCCGATATGCTTTGACTTGTTGTACAGAGTGTGACGGTATCTCACATTGTGCGCACACGCTGCGCGCAACATTACGTCGGTCAACGTGCAGCCCTCCGAACACAGCGCAAGGCTGCTGCTCAGCTCCGGCAACAGTAGAAATTCCTGCACCAGCTACACAATCTACTATTCTAGCAACGGGAGACACAAATAGATGACCACATTTTATTAACCCCTGGAGGAATGATGGGCAAAGTCAACCGCTGGCCAGCGTTTGAAATCGCAACCTCCTGATTATAAAGTACGTTTGGTATTCCGCACGCAGGTTATCACGAAGGCGCGATGACGACTATGCCTTGTCAGCATCAAAACATATTTCTGACGAATTTGAAGCGAGTGGATGACTCTTGCCCTCGCTTCACCCAGCTGGTCATTGCTAAAATGACAATCAACAAACACAATTAACCAATGTGACCACAATAAGCCCATCGAACAAATAAACCAAGTGCCGCGATCCTCGCATTGGTATTTACTGCACATCGGCCATGTGCATAATACATTAATCTACAAAAAGCAAGGCCCCCCCCCACCGTCTCGCAGTGAATAAATAAAACGGGAGGTGATTCACGCAGTCCTGGCCAGCGTGGGGCTGGGGTCCCACTCATGTTGACAGGTGCACGCCGAGCGACAGGGCTTTTGAGTTCCCAAGCCAAGCGCGGCACGAGCGCCAAGCACACGCAGCGGGGCGGACGGCAAAGAGCGGAAACCACGCCGCTATTTCTCTTTGTCTCTTATCCTTTTGTGTTTTTTGTTGTTGTTTTCACCTCTCTTACTCTCTCTCTCTCCGCGCCCTGCGAGTGCGCGTCCCTCGGACAGGCCACGGGACCGTCTTTAATTATGCAGCGAATGTTTGTTTCTGGAGCGAGGATCAGCTCGCTCTCCACGTCCCTCGAAGGGGACGGTCCTATCAAAGCGGGGCTTGCGAGGGAGTGGGCGGCAGGGAAGGCTTCGCTTTCAAGGCTCTCGGGGAGTCCGGCTGGGCGCACCGTAATCTGCATAAGCCAGCGGGGTAAGGCCGAGACTTCGCCAGTGCGCCGGCACCCCTCTCAGCCAGGGCCCTTTAAAAACCTATTTAAATGAGCACCCTTCGCTGGGCTTGAGAAGACATATCAAAAGGGGCTCCCCGTTTTTCTTTCTCTCACTCGTTTTTTTTTTCTTTAAGTCAGATTCCAACTGGAAAAAGACCATCTGGAAGCACAAAGCAAAGCTATTTTTTAAATTAATATTATTAAAAGGCCATGTAAGATTTTTCCCTCACCCCCCGCCCCCCCAGCTAATAAAAAAAAGCGCCACATTACGCTTATTAAAAAGAATACGGCTCTGAGAATTGTATGACGCTGCAGTACAGCTTAGAAATGGTACAAATGATAACAACAACAGTACTCCGGACAAGACAAACTTTCAAAATCTTTCATGCTCTCGTGGCTTTTATTGGCCTACAGTTTACACAAGTGCCTCTCTCTCTCTCTCTCAGTTCGGCCTGCAAGTACACTCTTCTCAAGTGGCTCGCAACACGTCCATCGCAAGAGGCAAAAACAGTATATCTCGCTCGCTAACATTTCAACGCTCAAGTCGTCATTTTTACGGCAAAAACAAGTTGCGCTAACCTAAAAGAGCTCGATGTAACGTTAGAGAGACACTATAACTAACCCACACTTAACACACCGAGGAGCTACAGCATCACGACTTAACGCGCTGTGCACTCCGCTAAGCCAGACGTGAGCTCGCAACGAGCGGCGGTGCTGCCGGTCCCGACGGCCATCGGCGGTTGTGGGCAAGGGAGAGTGCCGCCACCGGATATTTCCGAGCACCTGACAGTTCTGGGGTGGCCGTGGACGGAAGCCCCACTGTGACAGCAGCAGCAGCAGCGGCTGAGTATCAACTGGTCCACTCACCGTCCCATTAGGACGTGGATGGGACATCAGTGTCAAGAAACCACCGCTCTCCGGGAACACTCATTAAAGTGTGCACAGTGCTTTTTCGTCCGGAGGGGGAGAGGGATGGACGGAGAGTTGGGGGGGGGAGGTGAGTGGCAGGGGGGCAGGGGCGACTCAAGGTGAGGAGGTGCTCTCACAACCCCGCCGGTTAAAAACGCGGCCGCCTGGCGGCAGATAAGGCCGAGGATACTTCCCCCCCGCAGATAAACTCTGCCCCGGACAATCGTTAAGGCAATCACGGGCGCCCGGAATACGGCGGAGAGGCTTAGCCGCCCCAGTGGCTTAAGCGGTGTGTGCCGCGGCGAATGGAGTAAATAAAGCGGGCGCCACAAGCAACGGTCGTTCTGTTTTGCCGCAACAACAACAAAAAAAGTGAGCATCCAGGATGAGCGTGGCGCTCATCGGATTTGTCACGCGAGACGGAAGTGACGGCGGTATTTATCAACGCTCTTCATAAGCCGGCAAAGAAAAATCCGCACATTTCGCCACGAATAACAGGCTCGTTTGCAAAGACGAAAACAGAGTTTACATTGCGCGCACACGCTCATGCGCATACGAAAATAAAACCCCTCCACATTGTCAAAACTGTCAGCGCCAAACACGAGTACAACTTTCCCGACAGCCAATTAAAGAAGTGCCAGTCGGCTGGCATTCAATTCCCACCGCGGCTCGCGCAGCCGCGAAGAAGGACATGGCCACCGCACGGGGGACGAGTCGTCCCGTCGTGACGGCCGGGAGAAGCCGCGTGCGTGCACACGGCGCGCGTGCGTGCACACGGCGTGCGCGCGTGCTTGCACACGGCGCGCGTGGGTGCACACGGCGCGCTTGCGAGCGCGACACCGCGCGACACCGCGCGACACGCCGTGGCGCAGCAGACCCTCACCTCGCGCAGCCTCTGGAGCCGCTCCTCCAAGCCCTCCTGGGCGTCGCGCTCCCGTTTCACCAGCTCGAGGCGCGAGATCAGGTCGGCCGCAAACTTCTTCGGATCCACGGGTCCCATCTCCTTGGGCAGGCGACTTGTCCTCTGCCGGTGCAAGGGGTGGAGGAGGAGGGGGGGGGAGGAAATAAATAAAGACCGCTTTAAACCCCGGCATCAAACAAAGCCGTCGTCGTCGTCTTCCTCAGGGGGTTATAAATTGAAGAAAAATAACAATGATCGTCACGAATAAAAAAAAAATACAATCGCGGCACCAAACGACGAACTAATCGTCGACCTGCGAGCATCCGTGTTCTCGCGTTCGCTTTCCAGCGACACGTGCTGTTCGCGAAGGCTCGCGGGGCGGCGGTGGCTGTGACGGCGGCAGGAAGCCAGTTCTGTCGGGCAACCGCAGGGGAATGAGGAGAAGGAGGAGGAGGAATCGCGACCGGCGTGCTGCAATCGGCGCAGATCGCGGCCACGCTTCTCCGCTCGCCAGGGGAAGCGAGATTGAGATGCGCCTCGTGAAGCGTTCGCGTTTTTAATAGAGGCTAAATAAATAAAATACAAAAAACTGCGTAGCGTAACCGGCACCAAAGTCAGCGCGGCAAGCTGTTCTTGTGCTCAGTATTTCCGAGCTTCCCCGAGGTGAATCTACATTTGCTTGGGAAATGCAAACCAATAAAAGGGAGCCGACCGCCCCGCTGGCTCTCATCTTTAGCGAGAGAGACGAAGGGAGAAGGTAGAAAGGAATTGGTAAACTACGCCGCATGCCACGTGGGCCCTGGGGGACATTCAAACGCGCACAAAAAGTGCACGCGAGTCGCACCGCCATAATAAGGGAACCACCAGCGGAGCCGGCCCTCTGCCTGGGCACAGCGCCGCCTTTCAAACGCAGACACCGCTCCTGGTGGTGGAATTAGATGAACTGTGCTTGAAAATGATTACTTCTACAAAAAAAACACAAACAAACACTGGGCACAGTAAATAATTTGCCGCTTTAATATAAGCGAATATGTATGAATGAGAAAGTAGTTTTTATTCGTTTTTGTCTCTTCCCCCACCCCCTGCTCATTAAGTTATTATCATGCTACCTGCTGAAGATATTCGGCGTACAGAAGTGTGCCCTCTGGCAAAAAAAGTTCCTGCCCGGTTCCACGCAAGGAATTTACCCATTTCATAAGTTACCGCTCTTGCCGATGAGGCCACTGCATGAAAACTAAAACAAACAAACAAAATAATCACCGAAAAAAAAATCACCGGGCTCTCACCTGGGCTCTACGTGATGTTAATTCACAAAAATAATCCGAACTAAATCCCCGTTGCTCGAGAGGCTACGTCTGGAAAATTCACGCGATGGGTAACGGACAGCGCCGAGCTCGCTCGGTTGCTCTGCGCTTGTGAGCGAGCGAGCGGATGAGCGCACGGACGACGATCCTCCCTGGATGTCCCATGGACAGCAGACACCCTTGGATGACCCCCCCCCTCCCACCCTCTCTCCGACCCCCACATCCCCCCCCCCCCCCCACTCGACATCCCCCTACCACCCCCGATGATGCACCAGCCGAATCCGACCGACTCTGCTGGGCGCAGCCTCTCCTACTTACAGACGCGGCCGGACACGACAACCCTCTCTGAACTCCCGCGATTTCAAAGCTACCACAGAGAACATCAAACAGACCCAAGGAGACAAACGCGAAAGATGCACGCTTGCATGCGCGCGCGTCTGTGTCCTCGTGTGTGTATATATGCAGTGCATGGATATTTTACAGAGTAATCGAGTTATCACTCGAAAAGGTATACGCACACACTGAACCTTAAACAGGGACACGTACCCACGCACACTGGCCACTAACATACCCCACACAAACTTGCCCCTCGTAAATGCACACGTATCACACACTGCGCCCACCCATAGGTCGTACAAAGACATCGACTTAACAGAGTTGTGGGGCAAGTGCTGTTTGCGAGCATCTATGAAAGCCGGCATGATACACGAGTTGGTTGGTGGCCAGCACCACCCCCAACCGCCTTTGTCTCCTCAGTGGCGACGTTTACACACCAGCTACTCATTTGAGGCTGAGCCAACCTAAGGGTTGATGTGCAAGGAGACAGACAGACGATTGAGAGGAGGGGTGGCCCTGGGTACATGACTGAAGGATGTATCTACAAGTGAAATTCTGCAATTTCGTGTGTGGGTTGCTTCAATTTTTCGTCAAGTGTATAAGCCAATACCCTAAAAAGGCCACGAGAAAAAAAAAATCCTGGCTGAAGGGCATAAAAATAATAGCGGCAGAAAGTTGTTCCACTCATTACGAGGAGAATAATAATGGCAATACGTTTATGGGCTCCCGATTTCATTTAATTCGCCGCAGATGACGTTTAATTAGTCCTAATTATCTGTGCAACGTATCACGTTCTGATGGCTTGCTCCATGGTGCATCGCTTTCAAGTGCTCTCGCCGACAAAAAAGTGCTCCGAAGCAGCCAGAAAAGACGAAACGCATCGAGACGAACTAATGACAAAACCCGAGAAAAAAAAACGATAAATACGTAAACATAATTCTAATCAAATGCTCAAATAAAACAAAAAAACTACTGAAAACAACCCCCACAGCGAACAAGGGTGGGGGGCAACAAATAAAACGGATCAATAAACCACGATGTACATTAATTTATTATTTAAAAAAATCTACTTTATAAGCAGACAATACAAATGTGTGCGCGTGGAGGGGGCATGAAGGAGCTGTCTGCAGTGGGTTAGTGCACTGCACTACGAAGCCAGAGACATGAATTCGGTTCCCTGTCGTGGACTAACGTCAGTGGCACTCTCACATGTGAACGTGTCCCGGTCCCTCCGGCGCCCAAATTGACCAGCGTGATGAAGTACGGTCAAACAAACCCACCAGGGCCGACGATGCATGGCGGTGCCTTTGCCCAGCGGTGGATTGGCAAAGGGCTGTGAACCGTTTAGTTTTTGTTGCCAGGAAACAAGGGGAAAACCTACTCCCGTATATTTTTTTGGAAAAATAATTCCTACGAATAACTAATCACCTATTAATTTGAAATTACGCAGAGGACCGATCGTACGGATTGCGCTAATCACCGTTGAACAAATACACCTCGGCGGCGGTTCTAATGTCGGGGCTCGGTGGGGGGGGGGGGGGGGGTTTGGCGTACGTGGCCAATAAGGCAAAGAAAAAAAAAGGTTACAATCCCCCCCCCCCCCCCCCGTGGGCTACATGAAGGGGGAGCCATCGCAGCGAGCAAAGGAAAGGAGGAACAGTGGATGAGCCCCCACAGATCACAGGCGGCTGTACGGCGCTTTCTGTGTTAACACAGGGCACCTTATACTTCTAAGCCACCCCAGTGGGTTCAATGCGAGGCATGAGATGACTAAGATAAAACGGCAGGAACGGCAGCAGCAAAAAAAACATAAAGAAGAGGGGGGGGGGAATACCCCCGAAATGGCGAGCCAGAGGCACTTTTTGAACCGCGGGGCCTTTGAATAAAAATTAGTTCTGACACCAGATTAAGGTGGTTTTGTTGTCATCCCCCGCCTCTCAACCCCCCCCTCCCCCTTCTCAAAACTCACAACAAGACCCACTCGGAGCATCTTTTCGGGCTTGTGAATTATTCCCTTTAATAAAAGTGATTTGTAGGGAGAGAGGCTTACATCGGTGGACTAATCTTTAACTCGGCACGATCCGCAACTACTTCTGATAGGGGAAACTCAGCTGGTTGCTGTTTTGATGGTTCTAAGAGAGACTTCAAACTATATTAATTTTCTTCTATTTCCAAGGCTGTTGGGACCTCCGACTGGTTTGGGTATATCACGCAAGATGAGAAGCATTCCTTTTCTCTTTTCCACAACTCTCTCCCGCCTGTTCACCCTCCACCTTGAAATTAAACTTCCCCCATTAATTACAGTAACATTAACCCAAGCAGTGCTGCTCGTAGGGCAAGTGGCGGGCGGGCAGATGTTGCTGCATTGCGACGGTCTGCTTTACAATGGGAAAGCTTTATTCCCCAAAAACCACAAGCGTGTTTACCGTTTCAGTCCGCAGTTGCTTCCGAGGCTCAAGTGCTAAGAAATAATATAATAATAAATTAAACGATGCCACATCGTAATAAATGCAGAATCGAATATTTGTGATCTAGACGAAAAATTGAAAAACTGGGCCCGACTTACGGGCGTGATTGTGAGTGCAGCTCTTAGCAGGTTAAGGCGAGGAAATCAAGTTGTGGCCAGCAAGTGTGCAAACAGCGAGACTTGTCTCAACATTCGCACCCAACATTAAAGGAATAAAAGGGACATGAGATAGAGCCAGTGGCCATTCCAGTACTCAGACGAGCAAGACATCTGTGAAATAAAAAGCCTCGGAACAGAATAATTTTTTTTTTTTTAAAGAGTGTGCCACACAACTTCATAAGCGGCCAGCAAACTGAAAGCAGTAATGATTGGGTTTTTCTTGGTCTTTTCAAAGACGGAATGAAACGTCAAAAATGTCCTTCAGAATATTTTTTTTTCTTCTTCTAAACTTCTGCCCATCACTTCCCTTCTCTCGGGCTTCTCTAAACGTAAGTTGCTCCGGCTACAAACGCAATACGCAAAGTGTGCGCTGTAACATAAAGCCAAAGCCAGTGAGCCCCCCCTCCCCTCCACCCCATCAGCTGGAGAACTTCAACAACTCTAGATTTGAAGCTTTCGTGACTGCAAGGATTCATACTCTTAGTTCTTTCGGTAAAGTCACGTAGGTAGAAAATTAAATTAAACAAAATAAAATAATCAAATCACGACGTTTCGGAGGCAACACAAGTCTCCGTCATCAGGTGGGACCGTCACAGCCAGATTTGCTGCATCAAGTGAGGCAGGGATTCCAAGATGCAAGCTCTTAAATACAAGTTAAGGGGGAGGAGAAGGAGGGGGGGGAGCTTATCAGAATGTGGTAGCCAATGAATAAAACGTATCGGGAGGGGGGGGTAATTAACGCTCCTCCTGAGAAGAATATACTATTATTTAAAAACACACCAACTCTAAACTAAATCGGGCTCATCTGTAAAAAACGTTACTTACAGAACTGATGAAGGGTGGTCAACGGAGAGGAAATTAGGCCCCCGCGTGGGCCCACCACGGGATGGGGGGCAGGGGGGCCCTGAGTCTACGGGAAGGATTGCCGCCGTTTAAGTTGGAGGGATGGCCCGCCGGGGCTATCTGCCCCGAGAGCTTCAAGACACCTCGGGCGCGCGCACGCCTATCAGCTCAGCGCAGACTGTGGCCGAGCTGCTCCATTCATTTTCTCCTCCCAAATTCACTTCCCAATCCCTTCCCTTCATCCTGCACCGACCTCCCGAAGACGGGGCTATTTCCCAAAAAAAACGAGCGGAGCTCTTTTAACCGCCCCACCACGAGCCTGGCTTCTCCCCCGGACCACTGCACCCCTCCCCTCCCACCCCGAACCAGCCGCACCAGCTGCCACCACGCCATCTAGTTTTAACAGCGATCAAGCATTTTAAAAACTGTTCTTTCTCACAACTTTTAAGACATCGATAGATTTTTTTTTTCTCAGATACGAGTTGACAACTTCAGATGGTCGGTAACATTGAGTCTATGCAACCCCCCCCCCACAACCCGGCATTTCACGTCGGCAGCCTGGTCAGAAAGGTAAATCTCAACAGGACATCAAGCCGGAGAGTCGGGAGCACGCAAAATATTAAGAGTCATCGAAAATGCAGCTGCGGAGAGCGTAAAGCTGCGACGAGGCTCCCCACACGATACAAAGGATCCCTCGATAACCGCACCGGACCGCTGTCGCAGTGGCGCACAAGGGCAGCCGGGCCCACGTGAAGGCGGTGAGGGGAGTTGTTGTGCTGAGCATCTCACTGGAGGATTTTCATCGAGTTAGACTCATTCACCTTGAATGCTGGCACGCAGCCGATTTTGTTTAATCGAGATTGGAAATGGGGCCCGGGCGTTTTATGCCCGCTCACGTGGACACCGTTAGTTGGAGGGATTATGAAGGGTGGGAGGGGGAGGTAAACGGCTCATTTGTTTATTTATACATTCATATTATTATTAACCACAACGATATCAAAGGAAAGCAAAAAAATAGATTACTAATGTGCAGTTAGTACAATTAAGGCCATTTTAATCTTCAACCATGAAGCTCGTGTGGACTATTGGAGGAACACTGCCACAGTGTGCAATGCTGTTGTCCACACAAACGAGGCAACATGAAACAAGACGGCAAGTGAAGGTGTGTTGGGGACACATGGACGTCTCGGTGTGCAAACATTTTCAAGCCAAGAAGGTGAGGAACACAGAGATTGACACGCTCTCAACACTGAACCTACTGGCACGGTTTCAATTACCACTGGCGCTGGGGTATTTCTTTTGTGGGGAATTAAAGTGACCCTTCTTGGTTCTTTCGGTAAAGTCACGTAGAATGGAAATAATAAAATAATAAAAAATTAAACAGTCACGAAAGCTTTAAATCGAAATTTAAAGTGACCCTGTGAAACTATTGGCAAGAGTATCACTGGTGTACCACTGTCATAGCGTAACATCTCAAGATGTGTGTGTGTGCGTCTATTAATTGGGAAAATGCATCCGTCTTGACAAGGCACGAAACAACTCACGAACATCGTGGACTTGACGCAGTGTCACAATTCAAGGTCACGATTCAATTCCGGAATGGATTTTATTTTCACTTTAACATTCTGGTGAACGAAGCTCCGCTCCAGTGTCTGCAGGGGTTCACATTAACCCATTACAAACATCACATACCGCAAAGGTAATTCAAAGTATTGAAAGCACAAATTGATTCTAACCATTTCGATTTAAAGCTTTTGTGACTGCAGGGATTCATCTTCTTGGTTCTTTCGGTAAAGTCACGTAGAAGGGAAATAATAAAATAATAAAAATAAAACATTGTATTATGTTTAATAATAAAATAAAAACATATTTTATTACGTTTTATTTTATTCTTTTATTATTTCCCTTCTACGTGACTTTACCGAAAGAACCAAGAAGATGATTCTAACCAATCTATTGATAGTCACAAGCCTAGACTTTAGTAGTCCTTATGAAATTTGACTTTTGCCCGTGGACCTAACGCAAAAAGACATTTGACTTTTAAGCTGCCAAAAAAAAAAGACGAACTGTTGATGAGTGACATCACTTACCCTCTAATACACTTTGAAGTCAACGTTATTCAAAAGTAACACATTGCTCTTTCTCAAACCCTCCTTCAGATCATAATACTGACGTCCTTTATCCGTGGAATCCACCGAGGAAGCGTGACTTTTTCAGGAGAGCGTCGCAATGTGCATTTCAGCCAGCCGCTTTTCACCGAGTGTTTTACAAGTTTTGGAAACAACCAATTTTGCGTAATACGCACAACCAAGACCGAGCTGCAGCCCACTATGCTCACCGCACTAAAACAACTGCCATCGCCAGGCAATTATCCTTCGATGAACACACGATGACCGTGGCCCAAAAACACCTGGAGTGCACCCGATTCCAACAGATCTCCACTTCAGCTAAGCAGAGGTTTGAGCCTGGACAGCGCGTAGACGGGCGACCACCACGCATTAAACGGGTGCTGTAGGCCGCTGCGGGTGCTACGTTGTGGGCAATGGAGGGCGGCGCAGAAAAACCCGCGTCCTAGTTCCTTGCCTTCAATGAGATGATCACGGTTGGCTACGTGCGGCGTGCGGACGAAGATCAACAAACATACATTCAATAGCCAACGTCTTGCCCGCGTGTCGTTTGCACACGCTCCTTGTCAGTGCTTCTGTAACCACATTGAGTGATGCCAGGAACAAACGCACACTTGCCACATTACAGCCCACAAAGGGCACCCGGCAGTTAGAAAGTGCACACTTCAAGGTCATGCTCAGCTAGATGTTGGCCGCGTCGAGTTTATCCGACTCGACATTTTTTCTCCAACGCCACCACATGCCGCTGCTGGGTTTTCATTATTTACCACCCGTGAACTTTTCCGACGCAAAACAATGCCATGAGCATGAAAAAATAAGAATAGGTGTTTACGCTTGCTAGCAATAAAACAGTTGTGTTAAGATGCTCAAACACCAAATAGAAACCTTTTGCAAGGAATCAAGTCTGCATTAACCACACAGAGTACTTGTGGTGAACATGCAAACAAACATGCTCTGATAATGTATGCATTGTCTTTTAAACTTATTGGTCTACACCATTATTTATGGTGGTTATCTTATTTTTTAATACTTTGATACTGGCAAAAAAAGTCCCATTTTAATGTCATCAGCAGTCAAAATAACTCAAAAGCCAAGGTCGCAGTGCGATGCTCAATTTTAGCAGTGTCAATTCCACATTCATACGGCACGGGCTTACCATAGAAGACCCAGATCAATTGTGACATTTTTTTGCAACCATTACAAACACCTGCAATAAACAGAGCGCACCTCCTTCAACGCCAATGCAGCGTGAACAATGAGACAATAGTACCAGAAATAGCTACAAAATAAACTACTCAAAACAATCGTTCGTGTTGAAAATCACCGAAATATTTGTTTTGTTATTTATATTTTCCATCATGACACGAATGATTATTTTTGGTGATGCATTACGGCTACGTCATTTTGCCTTGAACTAGGAGCCCATAGCGTGAAGATAGGGTCCTGTCCGCAGCTGTACCATCGGCAGTTGACAAGCAAGCATTGATCCAAGCAAGCCCGACTTTGCATGTCAAAACCGGTACCAGAGTTTTCTCGTCTTTAAATCATTGCCGCTAACATTATGCTCTTCTAAACGGCCATGCGGCTAATGGGTTGTGTAAGCAATACTTTTATTTGTCATGTGCAGATATGGATACGTCTGCTTATTTATCCTGTCACACGTTAAACAGGTCCATAGGATGTTGAGGAGTGGCGCTGCAGGTCTGGCATTGGGCTACTCACAGGGAAGTGTGGTAGGGCCACCCGTCCATTCGCCCGGATGCTCCGGTGCATCTCCCTCCGCTGCTGCTTCTTGAAGCGGTACGGAGGAATCCCATCTCTGCGCGCGCACACGAAGGATCAGGGCAACATTTTAACAGCGCGTCACACTTGTCCCACTCACTCACTACCACGCACTCACACATCCACTCGTGCACATAAAGACAAAGATCCCCCGTACAGCCTGTAATAGCCTGTTGGGGCAAGCACCGTTAGCGGTCATCTATGAAGAGGCCTGGACAGCACACAAGAGCGTAGATGGGCAACACCACGCCTGGCCGCCTCGGTTTTCCCAGTGGCGATGTTTACACACCGCACCAGGTACTAATTTGAGGCCGCGTCGACCTAGGGGAGGCCCAGCACCGGTTCAGTTAATCGTCACTGGTGTTGGCCGAGAGCGGGAATCGAAATCAGGTCGCCGCACGCACACACACACACGCGTGCGTGCGCACAAAGGCAAAGATCCCCCCCAACGTAGCCTTCACAGACGGTTTGGGGCAAGTGCTGTTAGCGTGCGCGCGCACACACACAGGGCGAGCACACACGCTAGCCATTGAGTGAAGGCGACATTTCGGCTAAAACCGGTTCTTAATGCTCGCTGGGCGCGACTCGGCGAGGTCGGGGAGATCAGAGGGAAGTTCGCGCAGCAAAACAAAAAGGACCTCAGCCGCCGAGCGCGCGCACGCCTTGGCGCGTTCAATGCCATTGCGCAACGAGTCACGCACGACGACGCAAGAGCAGCCCTCGCGTCACCGCTCGCAGCCCGGCGTGAGCTTCACTCAACGGCAGCCGGCTTCAAAATAAAAAAAAATCAATTCCTGGCCGCAAAGTTCAAAAGCAATAAATGCATAAATCAAAGTGAGCAGTCAGAGCTGTTCACGTTGCTTAAACGGGTGTCGGGCGATTCTTATTTAGATTTATGGCCCCTGGTCCAGAGGTGAAACTTCCACATTCTGTGGGCAGGGTCTGGTCACTCCAAAGGACGCGCGCCACCTGACTTCTCAAGGCGTGGTCACCAAGTAATGTCCATCTCAGGGCTTTAAAGCTGTCAAGAGAGAAAAAAAAAGAACACCAACCTGTGAATATCTACAAAAGAGCTCAAACGTATCGGCCTTACGAATGTGATTATCAATAAAGTTTCTTCACTTCTATTTTTTTTTTGAGCCAGCACTCCACACAAACAGCACGCGCCGTGCGATGATATCCTGTCTGCCTTGCTCAGAAATCCAGTGAATTGGTGGCACCGGAACATTGTGGAGGGCTACTTCCAGCATCCTCAAAGGAGCTCATTCATTTGCTCCGTGTGACTCAATCCCACACACCTAGGAACAGGAATTTTTTCATACGTGCATTTTTTCCCCCCCCGAAACCGGTTTTAAAGTTTGACTTATCGCGTGTACACAAAGCCTGTGCGGTGGGCTGCGTCTGGCAAGGAGGCGCTAAAGTCTGATCCTCTCCTGTTCCAATGCCCTACCCTGAAACACGCCCCCACAACCAACACACACACCCCTGATTTATTTTCCAGAACAGTACAAATAAATAACATAGGTATGCGCCATCCTCCCGGACGTTACACTGCAGCCCACGTTATTGTTCCGTGTTCACAGATTTCACAACGCCCTCTCGGCAAAAAGTCGTCGGCTCTCCTGCGCTTTCCCGTATGGTCCGAATAGACTCAATCGTCCACGAATATAAAATAAAATGAGCACAACGCTAAAAGAAAATTTACGAGCCATGCTATTTTTACTTGACCAGGGAAGGACAACCGAGCGAAATAGCTCCTTCTCAGAAGCGACCTGGCCGCAAGTGATAACTCAAGTGGCTTACCACGTGGACATTTCTAGCAGCCACAAATACTGTTAGGTGCATGTTTCTAAAATGTGGAGGGGAAAAACGGGAGGACCCGAAGAAAAATCCACACTACCAAGGAGGGGAGAACATGCAAACACTAAATATACAGCAGGCGTCAAGGGTCGGGATTGAACCCACGACCTCCTGTATACTAGGCGAGGTAGTTAACAACTCGCCACTCTCTCCCTGTAAATGGCACAGACTCCACGTGAGGTTTTGCCCAGGAAGCAGTTTTAGTTCAATTTAACACGTAGTTCAGCTGCGCGGCAGAAAGGTTCCCAAAGCGAGCGAGTGTGGGGGAATACCCTTTATATATGTGTCAAACAAAAATCTTGGGCAACTTTAACGCGTGCCGATGTTCCAACTGGCACTCACATCTTCATCGCTCGGCTTAAAATATCGCTGCCCCGTCGCACACTTTTCCCACCGCTTTACTTTTAAACCGGCGCTCGGGACACACGAAACGATCCACTTTCGCCATCACCAGAGCGGGTTAGAGATTTAAAACAATCTCGCCACGGCAAGCGTCGCTCGCTCCACAGCCGTTTCACGGGAGGAGACGATGTGGTAAATGAAGGTCACACGGCAGCTTCAAGCGAGGCAAAATAACGCGATCCGCCCAAAACGACAGCGACGAGGCAACACGCAGCAATCCCGGGCTCTGCACCTCTCGCTCTCTTCTCTGGAAAGACGACGTCAACCGTAAAATGCACAATTCGATATTCCTTTCACGCGGCAGTCTTTATCCCCTCTTTGTAGTATTTACACTCAAGGACAATATTTCAATTCGGGTATCGATTTGTCTTTCATCTCTCTCTCTCTCTCTCACACCGCACATTTATTTATTTGTTCTCCCTGAACACCCCCGCCTCTTCTCCCCACCCCGCATTTTGAGACTCGTGCTAGCTCCGAAGACAAAGATCCCCCGTACAGCCCTAAAAGACTGTTGGGGCAAGTGCTGTGAAGCGAGCACCTATGAAGGCCAGCACAGCCCACGAGGGGGTTGGTGGCCAGCACCACGCCCGACCGCCTTTGTCTGCCCAGTGGTGATGTTTACACACCGCACCAGGTACTCATTTGAGGCCGAGTCGACCTAGCAGGAGGAAGCCCAGGACCGGTTAAGATAATCGTCACTGGTGTTGGCCGTGAGCGGGAATTGAACTCGGGTCGCCGGCTTAGTAATGCAGCGCGCTAACCGCCGCTCCACACGCAGTCACTCACCATCTGCTACGGTCCCCACTTCCCCCATGCCCCTTCTCACACCAGGGAGATGACTGCACCTGCTTTATCCGTCATCTCATTCGCAGCCACCCGCCGACCCACTGCGAACGCTCTCCACTGCTCTCACGGTCATTAACTCCCCGCGCGCAATGACCGCACCGCGGTTGCCAGGCCGGGTCCACTCAATCCGGCCCACCGGTGACGTTCTTAAGCCTCATCGCCCCTGGGCTAGCTGTAACGAAGCTGGCATGGCACTGGCGTCAAAGTTTCTTTCCATGTTACCCGGTCTGGCCCAGAAAAAACAAGATCGCAGACCTGGGCCCCCAGGATGGATTATCGACCCAAGCCGGACACGCTTAAGAACAACGGCGACTCCGGAACCATTTGAGAGGTCACGAGGTCAACATGCAAACTGACACGTGCAGGCCGGCGTCACTCGCTCGGTTCAACGTCCCCATCCGTATTGGTGTAAAAAAAAAAACGTGGAAGATTGTAAAAAGACACAAACAAGTTCAACTTACTCTAACCCCTACCACAATATTAAACTATGTAAAAAGTATTTTTTTTATTTGGGTCAATCCGTGACTTCGATGGCTGTGGACTTTACGACCATGGAGATTGGGGAGCCGACAAAGCCTAAGGGTTCGAGGAACATGGGGGGACATGAACCCATGCATTGGAGCTGTACCTGGGTCGGTTCTGGACCAGTCCTGGGCCAAAGTGGCCATGGAAACCAAGGGCAAGCCTGCCACCCTCGTGGACTTTTTACCAACGACCCATTTTGCCGTAACCTTCTACGTGTAAATTTGGAGACAACAAAAAAACACTGCTCCGAGTGTGATGGCCAATAAAACATGTTGGCGAAGTCAAATCCAGAGCAGCGAGGGTTTCTCTATTTAATACACAACCGCGACTGGGATACGTTGATCTGGGAGGATGACTGTTCGATAGATCAGCTGTTACTCGACCTTGCCAAAAAAGCGAATCGTGTTGACTGATTCTCTGTGCGTGCAATTGCCAAGCGCCGCCAAACACTTGCGTGCGACAACGCAACGCTCGTAATTAATTCGGGGGGGGGCTTGCCTTGCGTGCCACTTTGAGTGAAAGATGTCGCCCTGGGTGTGGATGTTGTGAGAAGAGCCTGTACACACCCACCAAACACGACGATTGAGTCATTAAATAAAGACTGGCTGCTGAACTCAGGAGTGATCGGTAAACAAGGTTCAACCCGGTTCAACGTATCCTGTCCGGCCGTCACATATCTATCCACCGTGACCAAATTAACTGCCGATGGTGTAGCCGTCAATTTCGATACATTTGATAAATACGACCTTTCCACACACAGCAATGTATTCTTAATCTCCCGAAGAGCACTGGTTGACTACGTACGGTGCGAAAGAAGTTCAATATATATACATACATACAATCCCACGTGCGTCTGCTTACTTCCAAAGCAGTGAAAGCATTTTCGCATGTTTACCGTAGTTTGCGCTTATTTTCGTCCAGTAACCTATGCAACAGTAATTTACTGTTCAAGTTCACACGTCTGACCTTTTGACACATTAGCCGTGTATATAGCTCGATCCTGACCGAGCCGGATATGCGACGTTGTACCGTACCGCGGAAAATCATCAAATATCGTTTCACTTTCTGTATGGTTTATGTAACAAGCAACGCAACAAAACGCAATGGTTTTAAAGCAATTTGCTCCCAGTTACCAACGCCATTTAGATGTGAGTGCTGCAGTACTTGCATCCTCGACAGATGAAGCACTTGTGTTGCGTTTTAAGATCCCCGTGACTTGTGGGTGAGAGAAAAGGGAGGCTTATTAAAACGTAGCCTTGAGTGGTCGGCAAAGTAACTCAGAAGACGAGAGTAGAACCCTGCAAAACAATACTTGTAACCGGCCAATTAAAATGACGTTATATTTCCCCCGAAGGTGTTACATTGAAATCAACCGGTTGCAAAGCATTAACGATGTACATCATT